TGGCTATTGCCAAAAGACAAGAAAACTAGAGATCCTTGAAACTAGACTAGAAGCAAGAAAGGAGTTGACAAGAGTGAAGAAGCCTTCACTCTTGTCTCTATATATACTATCTAACTAGGGGCTACGTGGCGATGTTCTATAGGACCTCCAATATGTGTTGACTTTGTAGGACACATGCCTTGACTTACAAGGCAAGTTTTTCTACGTGTGTGCCACATAGTTAGCTTGATCTTCAAGCTAACAACATGTGTGGCACATGGCCAACTTGTTGACCACGTTTCTAATCCAAAAAGTCAATTAAAGACACCTATGAAGTCAAAGCAGCGTCTAGGAAGCTTCTAAGAAGCTTCCATATTAAATATTATAGAATTAACTTACTTTTATCTACTTTTACTTACTTCTATCTATTTCTATATGTAATTATTAGCTTACATGATTATAGCCGTGACACATGACCTCCTTGTAGATAACTAACTAATAATATGACTCTTCTTTTTGCACATTTTGTCCTTTTATTTGCTTTAAAAAAAGGTGGTGGTTGAGAAAGAGACTAAAATTTTTATAAGAAAATAAAATATTTCCCTCAAAAATTGTTAAATTTTAAAGTTTATTTTATTTTACATACATACACACACACACACACACACACACATACACATATATATATATATATATATATATATATGAATTAATATTGGAGTTAAACATTGGGTTGTCAAATGTATTCTAAGCATGGAAGCATGCTTTTTAGTCAATTTAAGTTGTATGGAGGTTACATTTAGTGTAGCAATATCAATTGGAGATGTAGAATTATCATTTTTCTATATATATCTTAGATTTATATACTACTTTTTATTAATAATTTTGTAATTAAAAATATATAATATATATTTTAAAGAAGTACTACAAACTTATTTATTTTAAATAGAACATGTAACTATAAGAATACAATAATCTTCTTGATTCATTCTGATTTTTTATTTATTTTTCTTAAAAGTCTTAAGAATAATTAGAAATATTGTACACAAGAGTTTTGTTGTTGTAGTAATTTTATAATTTTTTTTATCATATTAACAGATATACACATGTCAATGTTATTATCCAAAACATTTTCATCTTTCCTTGGTTGGTTACAATGCTTTATCAATTTTTTATTATTTTTTCTCTTACATACTCGGTTAGGATACTATGCGATCTTTTCTTTTTTTTGATACATAAATAAATAGACATGTATATGTATATTTGTGTATAAAGATCTATATGTATATAATGAAGATGTAAGAAAACCAAAACATATTTGATGGAAAAATTATTGATATCTATACTTCAAGAACACATTGTAGAAACATCTTCAAAAAAGTTAGTAAATTTCATGTAGCTTACATAAATTATTAATTAAATGTATATATATATATATATATATATATATATATATATTTAAAAAACATATTATTATTTTGAAGAATTATGATATATTTTAAAGGTGTTTTGTATTTTTTGTATGCTTGTTTGATTTTTTTTGCCAAAGATAATTTGTTGAGGGGGGTAATTTTTCGAAATTCTAATGCATTCTTAAGTTTTTCATGTTACATTATGTATAGAAATAATTATAAATTGATACAAACAACATACAAATCATGTACATAAATAGTTTTTAACACAAAAGAATACTTTTTGCCCTTAAAAAATAATCTGTAGAAACAATTGTATCAATTAAATGATATTTCTTTTGTTGTAAAACAAATTAGGCTTAATAGATTAAGTGTATTATACATAATCTTTATATCTATTTTTTATTATTTTTTTACCAATCTTTAATGAGATTTTGAATGATTTGCAGTAATGCAATAAGTGTTGCTTTGATCATAAATAGATGCATAGTGTTTTGATTTAAATTTAGTAGAATTAAGCATCGTCATCAAAATCATCTGAATTTAATTTTTTTTATGTTTAATATATATATATATATATATATATATATATATTATTTGATATAGAAGTGAGTTTATAGTTTTATTCTTAACTAATTAGTTGACTTACTTAATGAGCCTTAGATTGGAAAATTAACACAATCAAGATTATTCCACACAAAGTTATAATAATTTAGTTCCAATTCTTAATATTTTCATGGTGGATTCAAATATATAAACATATTTTATATTTTTAAAACATATTATTCAACATATGATAGCTTAAATCAATCAGTTTTAAAAAGAATGGTAAAAATTTGTATAATTTTAAGACTTTGGAATTTCAAGTTTAGATTTTAATATTTATTTATTTATTTATTAGATGAGAAGAAAATGAATCTTTCTCTTAAATTCCATACAAATCACGTGTGATTCAAAAGAGATGACTAGAAGAAAAGAAAAATAATGGTATATCATGTAAGTTTTTGAAGTACTAATTTTTTCATTGCAAGCATTAAAATGATGGCTAAAATTTCTTTCATGTATATTCAAAACAATATCTTAAGCATGTCTATCCAGAAACTTTAAAATGGCATGAAAGTTGGTAAAATTTACACTATTAAATACAAAACTATCTTTGAAAGCATTAAAGAAATATATCCACTTTCCAAATACAAAATTTATTACCTTGCTAAAAGTCCATGCATATATCAAATTATCTCCAATGCAACTTTTACTAATTAAAACTTTACAATAAAAAATTAGAACATATATTTATGTGTACGTGTATATATATATATATATATATATATATATACACACAAATATATTCTATTTTCTTCTTTTAATCATAAATATAAAAAAATAGCCTTCATAAAAATAAAAATAGAAAAAAAAAAAAAAACAAAACAAAACAAAAAACACACATACAAATATACATAAGGCAATAGGGAGGTTTAAACATGGCCTTTTTGGGTGATGTTTCACCTATGATGAGATCTTGAAGTATTCTATGATATTTCAAAATATCACTTGACACTTCACCAAATCACCCACCTCATAAGGTGAATGATTTTAAAATCAAAATATCAAAAGAGGGTTGGATCAAATATCAAAAATTGTGTTGCTCACATTAGCTCTCTTCACACTTTAACTCCACACTAGGGAGTAATAAAGTTTGAATTAGGGGGTAATATCAGGGAATAATATCAAGGGGAAAAAGGTTGAATTGTGATATTTTGGATTTGATATTTTGTGTGATTTTGGAAATATTAGGTGCTAAATTCCAATTATTTGGTTTTGTGAAAGTGCCATGTTTGGACCTTCATAATGAAGTGTTCTTGTTGCTTCAAAAAGTTGAGTGAGTAAACCGAAATCAAACTGTCCTAGTGATCTATGTCATGAAGCACCTATTGCATAATCAACAACACTGAAATAGAGTTTTTTTTTTTTTTTTTTTTTTTTTTTTGTATTATTGTTGGAACACTGAAAAAGGTGTCCATAACATTAGTCATCGTCTTCAATGTACTGGGCATGGGGTAATGCGCGGTGATGCGGTAGGAGTGATACATGGTAATAAGGGTGAAAGTAGTGCGTGATTATGAGGTGGTGGTGGTGGTAATAGGGGTGGGGGGGTCATGCATGGTAATGGGGTAGGTTCTGGTGTGGCTGTTGTGGCAGGAGGAGCCAGAGCTCAGCCTGGTGGGTTGAGCAGGTTCAGTAAAGGGAAGGGGAGAGGGGGACAGGCATGCATAATCCATCCATCAATCAATCATTCAACTCAATCACACAGTTCAATCACTCAATCTGCTCCCTCAATCAAACTCATCTCACTTCTTGCCAAAGAATGAATGAACAGAGGAAGGAAGCATGCGAGTGAGTAATTCTCTTACTCAATCCCCACCACCCAATTTTCAACTCTCAAATAATAGTAAGTTAGTCTGTAAAACCCCAAGGACGGGTGAAAATAGAGAGAGAGAGAGAGGTTTCATACAAAGGATCCATCACCCATTTTCCACAACCTGGGTATTACTCATTTGCTTCTTTTGTTATGTCCGTCTGTGGTGGTCTTTGTCAGTCTGTCTCTTCTGTCTATGAGAGAAACAGAGTAATAGTGGCAGTAGTAATAATAGTAAGAGTAGTAATAGTGGTAGTAGGAGTAGTGGGAGGAGTAATAGTATTAGTGGTAGTGATGGTGGTAATGTGAGGCATTGAAGGAATTAGTCAGTCAATGTCTGTCCATGTGTTGCCAGGCAGAAGGATGGGGACCCTGCAGCTGAGAACCCACTTAACCCCTACCACCTTGGAGGATGTGACCCCCTCCCCCCAAGTCCACATAACAACAAAACAGCTAGGGAGTGAGTGAGTGAGTGAGCCTAGCCAGGCCAAGGAATGTACTCACACACAGGAGCCAGCCTTTTTCATTTCCTCCTTAACAAATCCTCCATCCCTTAATTGCACTTTCTCTTTCTGCTATTTATTGTGGAAAAGGAGAGAAGGGAAGGAGAGAGAGAGAGGTGAGTGTGGTGAATTCAAACATGGATGGATGTACGTGGATGGAAAGAGGACCCTCCATGTGACAGGGGGGTTGCAAAAGGCAATATCACAAAATCTGGAGTCACATTCCACAGGGACAGATGAGATAGAAACTAGCTGGAAGCACACACAGAGGTAGAGAGGGAGGGAGGGGGGGGGTCATGTGAAAGAAGTGTGCCAAGTTCAACCACTGAATTTGAATCCATAGAGGACTCAAACACCCAAAAGAATGCTATGCGTGAAAGAGACCCCCGTCCATCACACTTACAACCTGCCCAGCTGTGGAAAAGGGGTGAAGGGAGGGGCATGTGCACCTGTGCGGACTCCATAACCACTGAATTGGCCACACTCTCCCATGATCATCCATCCACAGATGAAAGGAAAGGGGAGAAATTGTCCCCCCCCCCCCAAAAGAATATGCCTCAGTGAACTGCATTGGCAGTGTGTGAATGAGAGAGAGCTGGAGCAGCAGTGAGGTTGAGGTGATAGGAGGGAGCCCCTGTCATGTGACCCAGACTGCCACTCTCCTTTTCTTGAGCTCACAATCACAGGCTGTTGAAGCTACTACTGATTTTATTCATTTGTTTCCTTATTTGTTGGGTTTTGTCTGTTAAGAGCCTTTAGGTGCTCACGTTGCGCTAATAATCAGCATTCTCATGCACAACCAATGCTCTCAGCTTTTTACAGTGCAAGCCCTAAACTACACTGATTTCAAACTCTCGGATGAGAAAATAAGAAGATGTTGCAGCTCTTCTTTTTCATCCATACCACATCTGCACGAACTCTCATAATCCTGCTTTAGTCAATGAGACAACATCAAGTCTGGGACTGGCAGATTAGAAACAGCTTAGATCTGGTTGCTGAGAGGGCTGTCTGACGGAACCCTAAGATGTAGCCATGACCATAGCACTGTTTGATTAGCATGCTTACTCGTTAATCTTGATGTGCTTTGCTCCTTAGTTTGATTAACCCCTCACAGCCTGCCGTCGCCGAGGACATTGGACCGTGGGTCAGCCAATCGGATAAGTGGTCCAGTGCCAAGAGGGTGTGGTGCTGAGCTATTCACACCGCACGGTATTGTCGCGGTTGATCTAGTCAATGGCAATGGGCCTTACAGTTGAGCTTACCCCAGCTCTTTTATTTTGAAGACAATTCCTGCGCCTGGGGTGGTTGACTGGGAACAAGTAAGCCGAACGGGAGGAGCTGAAGAAAAGGGGGGGGGGTGAGAATATGGTTGAAATGCCCTCGTTACCTGTTCCAAAGACTAGTGACAAAACAAGCGGGAAGGAAGGACATGTTGCTTGCAGCTTTAGGGTAACACCTGTCCTGCGGAGAGATCTCTACGCCCGTAGTTTAGTTTAATCCCGACAAAGGCCATAACTCATAGTTTACTATTGCTGCAGCAAGTCCTTGTGGCAAAAGCATCATTCCCTGCCTAGTAGATAGCCCACTCATTGTTTGTCATTGCGGATACTTATGCACTCTCTCTGACATCTGTCCCGTGCTCAGCTCCAACTTGAAAATGACTTGAAATGGCAAGAATCTACAGTACTTCGTTGCAGACTTGGGGGCAGGTTTCGGTAAATGGGATAACGAGAGAGAAAGAGAGATAGAACCTTGTGCAGAAACGACCCAACCTGAGCTTTGACTTAAGACAAGCTGGCGAAAAATAATTGAAACCAGCACAAGGTTGTTAGTATTAAGAATAATTCTTATTATTACGATTCTTTATTATTAATGCTACCACATTAAATTAAGCCTAATCATTGGTACGTTACAATTCTTTTGAGGATGGATTTTCAGTGAATTGGAGAAATATTATATTCTAGGAGGCAGCCAGTGGACATAAGTTTGCAAGCTTGATAACTTTCTTTTTATAATTTTGTTTTCAGTTTCTCTTCCAGATTCTCATCACAGTAATCTCACGAAATGGTGATTTACCTGCTGGGTGATGTCAATCAATCCTCCGATGCAAGCCGGGCTGAGTCAGTACCAGAAAGTTGGCTCTAGTTACTCGGGTGCAGATCATGGCGCCGTGCTAGCAAATTGTTGACTGTTCTTGGCCAACTATTAAGTGCCGGTTGGGATGTTGTTCAGGCAAGCTGCACTGAAACGGGTAGGGGTGGATAGGAAATGACGATGTGGAGTGAACTGATAATTAATTAACGGCCAAAATAGAGTGCTTAGAGTCGATTCCAACCATGTGGATGCAGACTCACAATAAGCTCCCACCTTTAACGAAACGTTGTTTAATAATAGTTAGTTTCGTGAGTTATAATCTACCCGGTGAAGCACTTAAACATTTTCACACAACTTGAGCCAATTTCCGATTGCAGCTTGTGGAGCATTGCTAAAATGGTATGACAAAATGTCACGATGTATCTGTGTGGAAAACCCAGCTGATGAATTTCATGATTTCTCAATGCCTTCAGATGGAGATAGGGGAGCTTCCAATTCGGTGAGGACTCTTACCAAGAGAAAATCCACGAGTTGGTTGCCAAGAAACTTTCGCGCTCTGATTCCATTGCTTTCTTCCTCGCTTCTCTGGCGACGATCCTGGAGGGTAATTGATTAGCATTGCGGCAAGCTAGATCGGGTTGGATAAATTCGTTGAGGAGGAATACGGCGTGGATGTTCCACTCATCATTTCTGCCATGGTAGTGAAAGCAAGAGGTCTGAGAGCTACAATAGCGTCCTGTGCGATCACACCATCAAGTGCTGTGCAGCTTGTCCTCCTCGAGACAGAGTTAACTGTCCGGAGAGGGATGCAGCTTCCACCTCGTATCGGCACATTCCTTCACTGAAATGCAACCGAACTAGGTAAACTTCACAGAAGCAATAGTAACTTTGGGCATCTCTTCATCATGTATCGTGTTTCATGACTGAATTTAAACGAGTACTGTGAAGCAGATTGTCAAGCAAATGTGACGAGAAATTTGACCTTACCTTGCTACTCACAATGTTTGCAAGTGATGCTGCAATAACACACCGATGTCTACATCATCGCAGATCAGACTTGCACGCAGGGTTATGAGTGCTTGTACGAAGAGAAATAATTTGTCACGAAGGTGAAGGTATCGAAGTTATCACAACATTGCATTTTCCTTTGGTGCTGTTAAATGGACTGACAAATTGATAATCATATATATTGAATGAGCTTTTAGTGGGTGCATTGCACGTTCTCTGATGCTCAACGATGCGCCATGATAATTCGAATCGCTATACAAGAATTAAAGCAATCGATACTATTTCAGCGACTAAGCATGTAGCACTACACGCACTCAGCTTGATGAACTCTCAAGTATTTACGTCCACTGGCAATTACGACTTACAAATGCTTAGTAGTGTTGAAGAGCTCTCGTCCGTAGTTGATCTTTATCACCTGGTTACGCTTGAGTGAAATCAATCATGGAGGCACGATGGCATCAACCACTCCACCACTGTTCATTTTTTTCAGGACAGCAGTAGTAGCCATGTCTGAATGATTGATCTTGAGGCCATGTTTGGCACTGCATCATCCTAACATTGTCTGTGAGACTGGCTCTCCTGTCAGCTTCTCTTTCTTGTTAAGTTTTTGAACTTTTCTGGCAGGAAATGCAGGTTAAAACAAGAATTTCAAAACAAGAAAAACTAAGATCCAAATGACGCGAAATTGATGTTCTGGTCGTGTATAAGCGACCGTGTCAGAGAAGTTCTGGCTCATATTGTACTGAAATATATGAGAATACTAGTGATGATGGATTCCTAGCTCAGCATGAAAGTGTGTAATACGTGCATATTGTTTGCTGACTGAAAACTCTAAGGTTTCAGCTTGAACACAATGTTATCACGAATTTGTACCTGAAGGCCAGCTGGCCCCTTCGGTCAGTGGCTCACTTTACGTTTAGTTGCTCAAGAAATGCATGTCTTAAACTAAGTAATCCATGACTGGTTGCCGAAGCGAATCAAGTCACGTCTCCAAACCGCTGCAGGCTCAGCCTGAAGGCAGAGGGTTCCCTTTGGAGGTTAGAATTTTGTGCATGCTATTCTCCGTCGATGTTCATCAGGTCATTTTAGAAATTGTGGTATTGGAGTCGACACAGTACTATCTCTCCGAATGCATGAACTAGTCTGCCATTGATTCAGGTCCAGAGCGTGTGCTCTGACTCGCGACACACTACATCGTGTATGCTCATCACAAGGCTGATCAAGGAATGGCACAGGAGTGTAATAACATATTTCAGGAAGTTAACAAGGCGATGAACTGAGCTTCATCAACCAAACCCTACAGATTGCTCCTAGACATTGCTCCAAGACACATTGCTAACAACGAAGTAAAATATCGCAATTCCAGTAACCTTTATCCCAAGTCCAATTCCAAGCAACTCAGACTGAAAAGCATTGGTGATTCAGTTCAATAAGATGTTATCTCAGTACTTCATGTAACATTGTACAAACCTGAGGGCATGAAAGCCTTAACATCTGCACAAGCCTTATTCGTGGTCGATCCTTAAAAACACTTTTTCATATGCTACTTCTGGTTAGTTCACTGCATGTCTACCGCTGCCATTCGTATGGAAGCAATCCGAATTCGACGACATTTTCTCAAATTCTCTCCATCGTGTGTCCATACTTCATCAATAACTGCACTCGTAGAACACAGAGTTTGTCCGTCATATTCAATCTGGCGAATTCGCAGGCTTCTTCTATTGCAGAAGGCAGTAGAGTGAGGACTCTCAGCGAACAGATTGCGATCTAGAACAACAAATTCCGGCGTCAAATTGTGCGGCAATTTTTGTTGAAAATTGTTGTATTAGACGATTCAGCGCATGGCGCAACACAGCGCAACTTTTGCTTTTTAGCACCCCCCCCCCCCCGCCATTTAAGTCTTATCCTTAAAAGTCACTTTGAGTGATAAAATGTTTTTCTAAATTAGGACATCTACATATACTTATTTTTTTGCCTGTAGAAAATTTGATCTATGCTTCAAAAGGCATTGCAATAGAAATTAAAATAATCCACAACATCTCCAATGAAAAAATTATTAACAATTTAAATCTAATGATAAATAAATAAATAAAATTTGTAGATTGATGAGTTATTTGATTAGATGTTAGAAGTTGTAAAAGAATAATTGCAACCTGTGGTAGATAAAGATCCAACATATTTCTCAACATAAATTAAAAAATAAACAAATATAATTTTCATTAATAAATCCAAAAATGTAAAAACATTAAAAAATCGCCTTTTAATTATTCTTTGGGTGAAAATTTAAAGATTTTATAAATAAATCCAAACCATTCATTATAATTAAATAACATGAATTAAATAACATTAAATTTTATTTGAAAGAAGAAAAAAAGAAAATTTTAAAGCAACTTGCATATTATAAATCTTTGAGACTTTTATGTATGAATTTCTAGATACATCGAATGATTTTTAAAAGTAATAATTAAAAATAAGAGAAAATATAATTATTTAAGCAAAAAATCTAAATAATATGATAATTTTAATTACTATATTTTAAAAAATAAAATGAACCTTGTCATTGTTTCAAAAATAAAAAAAATATATATTAATAGAGCAACTTATCATAACACAATTATTATCGAATTATCTTATCCACCAAAAAATATCAAAAATTATTTACCACATCAATAAAAAAAAATCGCCTCATTAATAAGCACAAAGATAATTTGTTCTAATTTACCATCCTTTGCTATATAATATTCACAACATTTAGAATCTTTTATATTATTATAATTATATACTCCACCACTATTATTTTTTTAAATATCTTATGTTGAAATATATATATATATATATATATATAATTTATTTTATAAATGTATTTTAATAACCAATGTAGTATGAGAGTTAAAAAATTTGAAACCATATAAAATATAATAAAATAAAATGATAGAAATTGCATGAACCTATAGGTAAAAAGATATATAAAATTTATTTATAAATAATTACAAAACTGATTGTAAGAGACTTATTGCTAAAGTGAACTATAAGTGTAATTAGATACACATTACTATAGATGTGACCATGGTTAAAAATAATAACAACATATAATAATCTAAAAAGAAAAAATAAAAAAATAAAAAATAGGACATAATTTGATATAATTTTTGTAAAAATGCATAAATAAGTTTCATACAAAACATACATATGTACTATTTAATAAAGATTTTGAAGTAGTTATTATATTTACAATTAATTTCTATTGCAAAAATAATTATATATAAATAGATTTAGTCTCTATGATTGCAAGTAAATCAAATACAAAATAATAAAATAAAGTAAGATTAAAAAAAAAATAATAATAGACAAAATAGTTGCATTGTTTAAAAGATTATTATTGTTCTTGCTTATTTCTTTATTTATTATACTTTTTCTATTATGAAGGTACCAATTATTGGCAAATAAATTGTTAGCTATCAATATCAATTACAATATTTACTTATGAGAAAATGAAAAGAAAAAAGATGATGTTGTTTTTAATAAATACAATCATAATAAAAATATTTTTTGAAAGAATATACTATATTTTTCTCTTTGTTAATGCAATAAGTACACTACATTAACAACTTTCAAAGATAAGATCAATGTAGAGGAAAAGCCACAATTAAATCTATATGTTAACCCTTTCTATTATTAGAATGCATAAAAAGAATCTTCCTTTCATTCCCTTCTTCTTTATGTATACACACACTCTAATACATTTATCAACATAGTTATTAATAATTCACATAATGATCTTTTGTATGTATTGATAAATTAGAATGTATTTTTTCTAATTAAATAAACCAACTATTTAAGAACTAATTCAAATCTACAAACTATTTCTAATTAAATAAACCAACTATTCCTAAATAATCCCCCCAATAACTAGTTTATAACAATTGATATCCAAACAAATTACCACAAGAGACAGATGTTGCCAAAAATAGGCAATGAATCCTATCACCACAATACATCAACCATTATTGACAATATTGGACATTTATGAGTTATGTAATGGTAAAATTTAAGCACTGGTTAGCACTGCTTTCTAAAGGTTGGGCACTCTTTGCAATTTACCGATTCCTTGAGGAAGCTAAAGCATGTACAATTGAGGGTACACTCAGTGAAGCCCTTGCAAATTCACACTTTCAGCCACGTGAACGTACCCACTCGTTGTTCATTATAACCTGCCTCGTGACTTTTCACTCACACAATGTTACGGAACTGTATTTTTTACAAAACATCAGACCAACAACTTTTGAAGAACTTAAACCTCCAAAGCGACTATCACAAACTTTATCATGCTTAAAGTTCAAGCCTAGGGTTGTGCTTTAAACTATATTGATAAAATTAAGTCCAATTATCTGAGTGTAAGAACATAGGCTGATATCTAAGATTGACTGTTGGACATACCTCATGGAAGTTTCTGTTGATTCTGTAGCAATTGAGCCAGCTCCAATCACATAATGTATCAACCATGTTAAGCTAAATATCTGTGCATACGAGTTCCTCACATCGTGTACCAAACAAAAGCACACGAGAGGACCAATGAATGGAGGAAAGAATGAGACATGCAAATAGGATAGCACATGAAAATTAGCAACTGCACAAGATCAAATAAAACCTACAACTTTTCATGTATTGAAAGAAATCAAATCAAATTTTTTAAAAAATAAAAAATAAAAAATAAAAAAATGGAAGTTTATGACACAACAATTTCAAGTTCAGGAGCACCACCACTAGTTCTATGATAATCTAGATGGCTACATTAGCATCGCAAGTGCGCTCGGTCAACAAAACCTGCTCATCCGTTGGTTTCACCTTTCCATCAAAAACTGATAAGACTCAAAACCAATGGCATCAATGAAAAGCCTCTGGATAGAAATGGCTTACGCTTTAATGTCTCTTCATAAGATCCTCTAGTATTTTTACAGAATGAAAGCAGTCAAAGTTAATTAAAAAAAAGAAAACATAGGGACCCGCTCATGCAGTGCTTCCAGATACATGTTGTGTCCGTGGTGCTCCTAATCTTTCCTGCTCTTTACTCAGATCTTCTTCCTCTGAATCGCCGCTTCTGCCTGACTTGTCTTCGTCGTTTTTTGACTGACTGATTACTGCAGCTTGAAAGTTAGGTTGAGTTCCATTATTGCCCTCTTGAGGCAATGGACCAAGCCTGGATTTCTTCAGCTTCTGCTTTTCCTTTTTCTTCTGACGAAGAGCCCGCTTCTTTGCAGTACGTTCCTCAGCAGCAAGTAGACGTTCCTCTCGCCGCTGAAGAAACTCACGCTCTGCAGTTCTCTGCTGATAATCGATTTCCATACGCGCTAAACGATCTTGCTCTCTCCTCCGCATTTGACGATACTGATCGCATACAAATAAAATGAAAAATGAAAAAAAATAAAAAATCAGCCACTTCCTGAAACTAAAAGTCCTGGAAATGACCACACCACTATCCTACCAGAAGACTCCACGGTACTGCCAGGGCACCCCTTCCTAGAATCTATAAGAATTATATAAATTCATGATTCTCCATGAAATATGCAGATTGAAAACGACTGTGCATCGACGAGCTGTCATTATCGAATCTTAAGCTTGCATCATCCCATAGACACATCGTGCCCGTGGTCCGATTCTTCAAATGGCCTTCATTGCACAACCAAAAAATAGCTATTCATTCCAAATTTATATCCTACTGGATTTTCTGGAAATAACCTAAAACCTGTTCACTACAACTCCCATCACAAGCGCCTCGAGTCTAGGGTTTGAATCCAAACCATACCTGGTGAAAATCGCCGGACCCGGATCCGGCAGAACTTCCAGAGGTGTTACTAACGCGCACCGGCACTTGTTCACTAATACGCCGCAGCTTAACCTCCAAATCCTCATCGTCCAGCGGCTTGATTGCCCCCTCTCCACCTTTGTACTCAACAATTGCCCCATTCCCAGCGCCAGCTCCTGATGTTACTATTAAAGGCCCTAACCCGTTGCCTACCCCTGCACTGCCTCCTTCGGCCTCCGGGAGTGCGACAACCTGCGTATTTCCATCGGTGTACGTCTGCGACGTCGTGTACCTTGGCATCGCCTCCACAACCTCGCCACCTCCTCCCTGCCGGCTTCAAGCCACCGCGATGAAAAGGGCCTTCGAAGTGGCACCAAGCTCCAGACAAGGTTTCACAAGAAGTCACAGGCACTGCTGCCAAATAAACAGTCCGTTGATCACGCAAATCATCAAATTCTGCACACCGCACCATGAAGTGCAAGCTCCATTCTCCGAAACAGTGTGCGTCCCACTACCGAGCCAAAGCGGAGCGAGAGAGATGAGCTTCGCTACGATACCCGCTGTGCATTCATACCCTGTATGTTGCAATACTCTGGTTATGCAGATACCTATTGTTCACCTCGCCGGTTATTGTATCCCTGATAACCGTGCTGAGATCGGCTTCGGTACCCGTTGTAATTAGATACCCGGTGTTGCCCTTTCTGGAAATTGTACCCATTGTATCCAAGTTGTTGAGTCATAGAGTCTTTATATCATGCTTATTCTTTTTTATCATTTCTTTTTCTATCTCAAAAAGAAAAAGAAACATATATATATATATATATATATATAGAGAGAGAGAGAGAGAGAGAGAGAAAAGAAATGATGAAGTGACCCAAATTTTTATTAAAGTGACCTACTCTTTCTTAACCATCATTATACCCTTGCAACTCCCATCCCTATTCCCATCCATTTCTCATTCCCAACCATTGGCAAGGATGGAGGCATGGGCTCAAAATGTTGGGAATGGGAGCAAGAGTTGATAACAAGGGAATAGAGATGGGATTGAAAGAGTACAATGATGAGACAATCTAAATATTTATTAAATTGTTTCTATCCTCTAGTCTGACCTCCCTGATTCCATCCCCCATCTTGACCTTCATCCTCCATTATCATTTGTTTGTTTGATTGTGCCTTCCTTGACAAGATGTAAAAACTAGTAAATAGGACGCTAGTATCTCCTCTGTACACTTAATGCAAGAACTGGATTTCCTCCAAATTCTAAAACTCTTAGTTGTTTCAACTAATACTCAAAAAATACAAGCACTAAGGCAGCTTCCTCATCAAGGTAGCTTCTTTCAGTTTATAACACTGATATTCTTTACAAATTGGCCCTCCATTGGCATACTTAGATGCAGAAGTAGCTGGGGCCTCCTAATGTAGGGGACCTCTACATCACAAAGGAGCCCTGAGATCCCTTAGATTAGAAGCTGCATGTTCATTGCAAGTGTTGCTTTGTGTCAAAATCAAACTACAAACTAATTTCCACCACTATATAGAAAGATAGTCTCTTTTCCACGTTTGATTTGCAAATGATGGTTACTTCATATAATAGATTGTTTCATAAATCCATAATACTATGATTCTTTCCTTGTTGGCTTAATTGCCCTTCCATGACAATGCATAGGGATGAAACTACAAGAGCTGCTACAAAAAAACTAGTGAAGCCCATTGAGAACTTGTATTCAATAATTTCATTAGAAGATAGTAGTAGAGGAGGTGTTATGAGATGATTTTGCATAGTTGGTGTTTCAACGTGAATTTCTCAAATTGAAAAAAAAAAAAATGCAAAAAAATAAACAAAAATAAATCTTCAAAGAGCTTTGAAACTAACAATTAGAATATAATCTATGACAAGCTAAGCATCATGGTTTACAAACAAAAGAGCTATGAAACTTAAAAACTTGTATTCTCCAAACAAAGATCTTGAGTATGCTTTGAACATACAATCCTAAGATCATAAAGAGAAGACCTTTGAGCTATTTAGAGCTATGTGAGATGTTTGCTTGAAACCACTGCAAACTTGGAACTATACAAAGCTAGAGAAGGACCAAGAAGAGCAGAGAGAGAGAGAGAGAGAAAGAAAAAAAAAAAAAAAAAAAAAAAAAAAAGGGGAAAAAAAAGTAAAAAAATTACAAGAGTAATGTCTCCAAAAAAAACATGGAGGTTAATCATCAACTTGGCTATGGCGATGGTGCCTACAAAATGGGTACATGTATCCTTTGTATGCAAGATCCATATGCAAATATTCATCTTGGTTTCTATTCAGCACAATACCAATACCATTATCTTTTATTCATACACTTACTTATCAACCATCATTGCATCAAGTCAAGTCAATGTAATTCCAATAACTTATTCATATTTTCATACAATAATACTTAGTTTAAAAAAAAAATCACTATTGTACAATCAAAATAAAAACAACATATCATAATGGAGGTGAGTCCAAACTTGCAGTCCAAAATAATTTTTGTGATGAAAATGTGGGTGATTTTATTAGAGAATTGTGGGACTATGCCACAATTCTAATAGGCGAGGATTTTCTAATGCTACAAACCATCTCAGTTGATGCAAAATTTGCTCTGCCGCATCTCACCATCCACTTGTCGATCACATTTCCATCTTTCATTCTTTATTTTGCTTCATTGATTATTCTTCTTTTGGTTATTGTTCAACCTTAGAAATTTACATTGATTCCTTTAATTGAGTCTCTCATATTCAAATGATTTAGAAATATTTTTTCAAAATAAGTGATGGCGTTTGTTGTATCTCATATCAAAAGCAATTGATGTTTATTTACTCAAACGATTATATTGCTGATATTTATAAGTCTAACACGGATGATTTTTAGGTTTAGTTTTCTACGTACAACAACTTCAGATGGGCAATTGTTGTCTATTTGGTACCTCAAGCCTCACAATGAGGCAACTTCTTAACTATGGTGGTATACAATGGATGTCAGATGCTTGGAATCATTTAAAATCATATGATATTATTGCTGCAAGAGTTGGGTATCATCAAGTTGGTGCAAGTGTATTGCATTACAAATTGATCCATCTATCCATCATCCTAATATCATGACTTGCATCTTCACAATTGCTTTGTAAATACCTCTTCCTCTTAATTCTTTATCATAGATAATTTCAAGTACACATACATTATTTCATGATGTAGAAGTTTAGTTGCAATCTTTATAATTCATTAGTGGTTTTCTTTGTAGATTTGTGGAGGGATGAGTGTCCACTAGACTGTGACTCCATTTATGGAGGGGGAGTAGCTTGCATCTTTTGAAGTCATGAGTGAGATTAAGACATTGTTTTTATAACAATTGCAGTATAATATGATGGTTGATATGACTAGTTGCTCCACACATGCTTTGGTGAGATAAAAGATTCATTAGAATTTGGAAAAAATTTAGCTCTTGCATCAAATGTACAAAAGGAATACTAGTGGCTTGCTTACTAGCTTGTACATTTTCTTTAAAAGCATGATCATAGAGATGAGATAGACAACAAGAGAATCTTGTAAATGAATTTCTATATGAATGGAAGTGACAAGGAAGAAAGGGGCTTGGAATAAGATACAAGGTTGGGAAGGTTGAGATAGGGGATGGAATTGAGGAAGTTGAAACAAGGGATGAGGTTGGAAAGGTCGAGATTGAGAGGATGGGAACGTGGAGAATTTTTTTATTTAGAATGCTATGATTTAATTTAAAATTATATTACCTAAAAATATAATTTATTTTTTAAAATTCTTTTGATTACAAATGAAATTGTGTTTTAAAAAAAATTAAATAAATTTTTTTGGATAATTTAAAAATCAAATATAAAACTGGCAAGAATTTATAGATTCACAAAAAGTGTGTCAAATGTTTATTTCATTTAGTTTGTGTATTGATATTTTTTTCATGGTGATTCTTTTTAACATTTCAAAAATGAATAATCTGCTAATTTTATAGAAGTATTAAATTTGGAAAAAATCTTTTTCAATGACTTAAATAACAAGTTGTATTATAACAACATAAGTTTTTAATTAATTGTTATATTGTAACTCTTTTTTGTATTTTAGAGATAAAAGAATTTCAGATTAAAAAATGATATTGCAAACATATCTATTGAATTCCTTCTCAAGAATAAAAAATTAAACATTTGACCAGAAGTTTTTTAAAACAAAATGCTACTTATGATAATTTTATGTACAAATACATTGCTATGAGTGAATTAATTTCACTAATAAGCTAAATTTTCACAGTAAATAAATTATTATAATCATTTATTTTTAAAACGTGTATTTTAAAATATAGATTATTAATAATCTCCAATAGTTTTTAATTAATCATCTTTAAAAAACAATCAAAATAGCAACCAATAATAGGTTCCAGAATATCACTATTAGCAATATCTATAGCTACAATTACACTACTGAAATTTGATTCCATTTTTTTATACTAAAATCAAGATATATAATAGTTTCTTCTACAAAATCAAGAACTTTTTTTTTCCATTTATTTTTATTGAGTAGTATATTTTTTTTTATATTTTTTAAAGATGTGCACCAATAATTTTTGTTTTAAAATTTTATTTTATCAAAAGACTTATTATTAAATCCAAAAAAGATTCAAATTTCTATTTGGTATTTTGTCATATTATTAAATTTAAGGATCAAAGTAATGTAAGACAATTTTTCTCTTTGTCAACTATATAGAGTGCATTATTTTCTATTTATACCTACTAGATATGCTTTAATTCTTTTTCTATGTCTTTTAAACTCCAATCTTTTTGATTTAGTAATTTCTCTTTTTTTATTTTTATTTTTTATGTTTATTATCAATAGGTATGGTTAGTATTAATAGAATTAAAAAATACCTAAAATATTAATTAGCAATTAAAATTTATTGGTACTTAGAATAGATTATGTAAAATAATTTACATAAAAATATAAAAATATATTAAGTAAATTTGCTATATAAAGTTTTTAAAAGAAGCATTGCAATGATTGATAGGCAATTGATTTTAGAATATTAATAGGAATAACTATAAATTTAATTATCATAAATTGCCACCACCAATTTAAAAATAATTTTCTTTTCCTAATCTTTTGGAATATATGTATAAAAGAGGGCCCCAATTCAACTCTAACAATGGTCTCACTTTTCATTATTTTATTTTTTATATTCTACCAAGTATTAAATAAGATAGTATGTGATGCAAATATCTTTAAGATTTAAATCAAATCAAACATTTTTCATTTATTTATTGATTTACTTAATTTTTTTAAAATAAAAAACGAATATTTCCCATCAACACAAAAGAAGCTTTTGAAAACTAAAACTACAATCTCAACCATTAAGACCATTGCCTAGGTTTTATGATGGTCCCAAGGTTCTCCAATCACGAGCACGGGATTGGGTAACCGGGAGTGTGTGCGGAGAGGGAGCCTAATCCCGTGAAAAGGACGGGTTACCAAGTCGAAAAGGAGTGAGGAGTCGTTAGACCCGGCATTTCGGATCCTACCCGAGATATCAAAAGTTGGTGACTTCAAACAGGCCCTCGTTGGTTTGGGCCCTGGGCTGCGGCGGCCGCCAAGCAGTGCTCCGATTCAATGACCGCACATTTCATGCTTTCTTTGTGCCTGTGGAAGAGGCATTCGGAGACTAGACCCAAGGATTCTCTGCTCTGACCTCTCTCCCTGGATTGTTGCTGCGATTCTCGTACTCTCCCAGGTTAGTTCTATTTTTCTCGGCGCATTCTCTGACCTACAGACTCCCGTTTTTCATGCACATTTGCATATATTAGTCATTGGACGCGTTGTCGGAGTTGGTTTTTTTCAAGTGAGGTTCTTGCTCTTTCAGTTCGAGTTTCGTGGTGTTGAGAGCTAGTTCTGGGGAGCTTGTTTGGAGCACGGAAGGCGAATGGTGAGAGCCGCTTGACAGTGGAATTGGATTTCTTTAGTGAATGGGCTTTTGCGGGTTTAAGTGTGGGTGGTTTTCTGGGCCAATTTTGCAATGGGTGTCTACCTGCCTTGTTGTTGGACGTGGAAGTGACACACGCGTTCTCTGTCTGAATTCTGTTTGGTCACTTCACTGCGATTCTAGTACTAGGGTTTTACATCTTACAAGTTCCCCTGTGATTTGTTTTGGTTCGTTCTTGTTCTATATTTTTCCTTTTTTGGTTATTTGAAAAGAGATCCATTATTTTTTGACTATATCGCATGACTTAGTTCCGACACTACTGGTTTTATTGGGTTTAGGGTTTAATGGAGAATTAGGGTTTTTGTTCTGGTTAGCTATCTCATCTTGAGGACATGAAGGGGGACACAGAGGTTTTTCTACTCGTCGAATTTCTCTCACCACTGTCACAGGTACTGAAACAGGTCAATCTATAAGTTTCTTTGCGAGTTCAATTTGATTTGTACAATGGGGAGGAAGCCGAAGCAATCCACAGAGGTTAAAGTGAAGAAGGAAGAGAGTGACGACTTCATGGAGAAGAAACTAAAGATGAAAAATAAGGGGTTCACCGATGACAATAAAAAGTGGCTGAAGGCAAAGTTGATTGAAAGCTCCTCTGAGGAGGAAGGCGAAGATGAAGATGAGGATGAGGATGATGAAGGAGATGGCGAAATTGAAATGGAAGAGGACGATGGCAGTGATGAAGGCAGTGATGATGGTGAGGAGAGCGATGAAGACAGTGAAGATGAAATGGACGTGGAGAAGAAGTCACGCTTCTTGGATGCTCAGAAGCAGCGAGAGGTTGAAGAGGCTAGACAGGAAGAAATGCAGCTTAACATCCAGGGTGACGCTGATGATTTTCGGTTACCTACTGAAGAGGTAGTAGGATCCTTCTACAACATTTGTGTCCGGAAATATTTCTCAGAACCGAGTAACATTGAATTGTTTTTTATTAGGTTCTGTTAATCAATGCATGTGCGTATTGGCCATTTAGAGCATCTGTTGACGATTTTAATCCGCTTACACATCTTTTCTGTTCTCCAGGAGCTAGAACAAGAAGCGAAAGGCCCTCCAGACCTACCAAATATCTTGCGGCGAATCAAAGACAGTGAGTGATGTTTTTACTATTGGGTGCTTTGTTGGTAATCACTACAGCATTTTCCTGCTTTATAGATGTTTCTCTTTCAGCAATTGAAGACCTCCCTCATTTTTTTTTTTTTTTTTTTTTTTTTTTTTTTTTTTTGTTGGCAGTTGTCCGTGTGCTTTCTAGCTTTAAAGCTTTAAGGCCCGAAGGAGCTGCCCGAGCTGACTATGTGAAACAGCTTTCATCTGATCTATCCCTGTATTATGGTTACAACGACTTCCTTATCAGTACCTTCTTACAGGTACAGCCTTTTCTTTACTTAAAAATCTTCGAAGTTGTGGTGCCCGTACGTCCCTCAGACTCCGTTTAGTGGTTTGTGGAGGTTACCTCTTTGGAAGTGATTCTGTGATCCTCCGCAGATGTTTCCTCCTGCCGAAGTGCTGGAGTTCCTTGAATCAAATGAGAAACCTCGGCCAATATCCTTGAGAACCAACACCCTGAAGGTATGCTTACATCATCATCTTCAACTATCTTATATTTTGGCGAATCAAAACGTGTTATGTTATTTGCCTTAACTCGCGTAATTCACAACCTCGCACAGTTGCAACCGTGTCACTTTTCTACATTAATTTGGCTGTGCAGCAGCTACAATATGGTCAAAGGACGTATCAGTTGATCTTTAGTGTTGGTCGCTGACCCCCCTTTTTGCAGAGCCGTAGGAGGGATCTGGCCCAAGTTTTGATTAACAGAGGAGTCAACTTGGATCCACTGGGAAAGTGGACGAAAGTGAGTCTCTTGTAATCCATAATTTTGTTTATATTTGTGAATATATCTTCGTTTTGCGTATATTTCAGGTTGTACAATGCTTTTCCATCGTCCCTGAGTTACTTTTTTTATTCGAGTTCACAATTTTCGTAATGTTTATTATAATGCTCATCGTAGATTGCTCGGGTCAATGATGAGTTGGAGGTTAATATGTTGCTCTTTGAGCCTAGTCGTTGGAATGGACTGAAATGTTGAACCAAGTTGACTGTATTGGCAGGTCGGCCTGGTCGTATACGAATCTCAAGTACCCGTTGGTGCGACTCCTGAATACATGGCTGGTCACTACATGGTAAATTTTCCTGGCAAGGATCCACTTGGATCGAGCTTTTAGAAAATGAGAGAACTCTTGGAGTGATTGCACTGTTTGCTACGATTGAAGAAGACGTGGGATTCTCCAGTTCGTTAATCATGCTACAGGATGTTATGGGTTTTCTTCTTTTTGTTTTGTAGCCTTGTTTTTGTTTTCCTTATGTTGATGCAAGGTTCTAAGTTGCATGAATTTAATTATACTCTTTTATTTCACAGCTTCAAAGTGGATCTTCCTTTTTGCCAGTGATGGCTCTGGCACCTCAAGAGAAGGAACGAGTTGTAGATATGGCGTAAGGATACTCAACACTCGATTAGTATTGTTAATATGTTCTTGTTCATTGATAAGCATGATTTAGGAGTGATTGTGTTTTTATTTATTTATTTATTTATCTTTCCATACAGAGCTGCCCCAGGAGGAAAAACTACCTACATCGCTGCACTAATGAAAAATACAGGTTAGAATTTCAATCGTTTGCTTGTTGGTGTGTTGAGTTAGTTGTGTGGAGTTTGGGTCATTCAATTGGGGTTACAGTCAGTTGCGGGTATCGAGAGGTATTGGCCGTTTCTGGATGACTTTAGTCTTTGTTCTTTGAACCAAATACCTAGTCTTTGGTTACTTATCTAACCTCTAGCTTCTGCTTCTCAAGTATTGCTAGTAGTTGGACTTGTGGAGGCCATGCGACGTAGTGTTTTGATGCAACATGGAGAGAAGAGACAATGTAGTTTCCGGTAGAAATCACTCTATTTGACGTTTCCATGGTAGTATTTTGGGTACGCTTTGGCTTAGTGATGATCTAACATGTAAAACATGGCTGCTAAGAGCATTAATCGTATGCCTTTCTTTGATAATTCGTCTTGTTTTACTGGCTGTCCAGGTGTCATCTATGCAAATGAATTGAAAGAGCCACGTATAAAATCCCTGTCTGCCAACCTTCATCGAATGGGTGTGACGAACACAATCATCTGTAATTATGATGGTCGCCAGGTCAGTATCACTGTCTCACACCAGGCTGTAATTATGTTCCCAATCTTCAGTGCCTTCTCTCATTATGTTCATGTCCTCCATACTGCAATGAATTTGAGGCAATTGCTTGTGCTGTTTAGCAATCCACTCAGTTTTGATGTCATTTTCCAGTTGCCTCACAAGTTGGGACTACGATCGGTGGACCGGGTTTTGTTAGATGCGCCGTGCAGCGGAACCGGGGTAAGCTCGCGTATCTTTGCGAATGCTCATGACGGCAAGCTATTGTCGTGTAAAGCCTTATGGCATATTGTAGCACCCCTTGATTTTCTGCTACTTTTTAGCTTGTATTTGTTTCTTTTTCTATTTACGTAATCTACTCAAAAGAATGTTATGCAAAAGGGTTGATTCTTATGCAGCATATTAGTATTGCATTTGATAAATTTCTAGCTTTGACGCAGGTTGTAGGAAAGGATGAGTCGGTGAAAGTTACGAAGAGTGCGGAAGATATTCAACGCTGTGCATTCCTGCAAAAAGTATGTGTCTAATCTATGCCTTCATCGAATTTTTTTCCAATTTGAATAGAACTGAAGGCATTCAATGTGCTACTTCTGGATTTTTCTACAGTTAGACCCCTTAAAATGTGCCCAGACGTAGCTATCTTGTGCTGACTAGTATGATGGCGTTTGCAGGAACTCATTCTAGCTGCTATAGACATGGTGGATGCTAATTCAAAGACTGGAGGATATCTTGTTTATTCGACATGTTCAGTAATGGTAGCAGAGGTAATATATTGCTGATCTCTAATCAAAATTATTTGCAACGTAGTTAACATATTATCAGGGACAACTGTCCTCGCTGTAAAGCCTGCGGACGCAATGAGTTTCTTAAGATTTTATTTCTGTGTTGGTATATTAATTTGCAGAATGAAGCCGTTGTGGATTATGCTTTAAGGAAGCGGGATGTGAAGATTGTTCCAACAGGGTTAGAATTCGGGCGTGAAGGGTGAGCATCGACATTATCTGTAATTTTGACTAGTTTCTGTCTTTGTTCATGCTTAGAACTGCAACTTCAATTCTCATATCTTGTTAATGAGATTCTTAGATTGAATTATGTACATGCATTGATCAATTTACGGTGTTTACCAGCTTTACAAAATTTCGAGAGAGTCGGTTTCACCACACGCTGAAGAATACTAGACGGTTTTATCCTCATGTGCACAACATGGATGGCTTCTTTGTTGCCAAGGTTGGTTTCAACTCAAGCCTTTCAATTATTGCTGTTTTTGTTTGGATTCCAGTTTATTTACACTAGTTTTGCTCATTTACAGCTGAAGAAGATAAGTAACAAGGTCAAGAAAGATGATGGCAATGACGATGCCGATGATGAAGAGCCGGCAGAGGAAGTCACGAGAGATGAAGGTAAACTGAAATTGTGAATCTTTTTCGCACTGGACATTCTTGTTTTCATGGATTTTTTAATGTTTTATGATTTGACTTCTGCATTTGACCGTTCTCTTTCACTTAATAGTATCTTGTGGGCAACGCAGTCTGAGTTTTATGTAGAAAATTTTCAGATATCACTTACCAATATCTTGTTTTGTTTTCTGTGACGACTTGCTTTGAGAACATTTTGTTGGACTCAATCTCTTAAGAGAAGAATATTTTGATTCATTTCGGCGAATCTATTGTTTTTTTTACTCAGGTTCCCGCAGTTTTCACCTAGTTGTTTACTAACAATATTCTGTTTGTAACTTGTTGGGACATCTCAGGAGATGAGATGGAAGTTGAGGAAGTTGGTCAAGATCGGATCGCCGATGGTGGTGCATCTGCTGGCAATGGTGACGACGGAGACATGGATGTCCCTAACGGCAAAGCTGAGAACAGTGAACCGGCAAAAGTAAAGAGAAAGTTTTTGAATAGGAGGGAGCGGAAGAGTTTGCCATCAAAAGAAGAGATTGCTCAACAGAGGTACACATTGCTGGATGTCAATGTTACTTTCCAGATGCCGAATTGTAGAAGATCAACTTTCGTACAGTGCTGCACTATAAGCTCTGCTCGAGTCAGCTGAATGAGATCTAAATCAACTACTTAATCAATTTTGGTTTTCGTAGTTCACAAACCCGGATTATTTACAATTTTCCTGTCATTTGTCAATTTATATTGATACTGTAATGCTTGTCGTTTCACCAGGGAGGAGAAGAGGGAAGCCATGCGTCAACGGAAAGCCGAAGAAGCCGCAGCCAAAACTCCTGCCCCTTCTTCCGAACCTACAGCGATGGAGGGAGTTAAGTCTACCAAGGAATCGCCTGTTTCTAATGGAAAAGCCAAGAAGGGTAACAAAAAAGCGTCTAAGAAAGTGAAGCAGTCTCCTTCGGCGACAAAAGAGGGTTCAGCCAGCAAGAAACGGAAGGCCTCAAAATGAGAAGTGCAAACAACAAATCGACGTGTCCTTGTTGCACCTTTGTAGGATTTGAGATTCTCACTGAACTGGTGTATTGAGGCGAAAGGCCTGTGCAAATTTCACCGACCTTATGTTCTCATCAAGTAGGGTTCTATACCTTGTCCTTGTGAATTGTAACTCAGACCTCAGAAAACGTAGAGCTTCCGAGTTTAAGATTCAGCTAATCGTGCAATTTTATTATGCACTATCACAAGGCAAAGCAAGTTTAAGATATATCTGGTGCCCAGTTAGAGTGCACTGCTGATTTTATGCATGGTATTCCCCTGCTGAAATTTTTTTAGTAAATTGCCGGTATCCTTTTATTCTTGTGAAGCAAGTATTTTTTCTGATGGCTTGGGTGTAATGGATGCATAGTTTTCCTGTACTCGTCTATGTGGGAATCTCCTTGTGATGATTGTGATCAGGGTAACCGTGATTTCACACACAGTATCATCTTCACTCGACTGCAGTCTTAGATTGACATGTCTTTCACGAATGCCAAGGATTTTTTTAAAACATTGTCAAAAGTCTGTAAGCTTTTCAGGTGAGAACACGAATATATGGTCCTTTTTAGGAAGGAAGGGTTTTTGCCATTATACAAGCTTCCACATTATCTTATTACCATCTCAATTTTCAATTTTAAGGTAAGGAGCATACTAAACAAACTGAAATAAAAGTAGATTTGCAACTGAAATCAAAGTAGGTTTCCTTGCAATTAGAGAGATATATTTAAATATTCAAAAGCCAAGATAAACTAATTGTACACAAAGTGAGATATATATATATATATATATATATATATACATGTACATATATTTTTCTTTGGAGAAAGTTAATTTATGTCAAAATCATCTTGTCAATAAAACTTATCTTCAAATAACACAATTTGAATGTCATGAGGCATAGTATCAACCTCTAGTAGTATGACTAAGCATAGGGAGTTTCTTTTAAAATTATGGCATTATATATATTAGATCCCATTATTTATTTGAGAAAGAATATGTCTCTTACAAAGATTCTCATCTCAATTTTGACATTGTGAAGGTTAAGACAATCTAAATGCTTCATTTACCAATTGTAAAAATGACAATTCTTAAAATGAAATCACCAATTGTTAGTCTTTCATCCTCCAAAGACATTCTAAGAGTTAATCTTTGAACTTATTTGTTCTTATTTTATACCAACTTGTTATCAATGTTGTTAATAAAAAATAGAAATAAGTTTTGACACATTTTTGTAAGATTTTCACATGGTTCTTATGTATGTTTATTAATATTATATTTGTACTAGTGCATAAGATATTTCAATTTACTTTAGTATTGACTTGATTCAAGACTTTTCACTTCAAATTCCTAATTGTTATCTATTTTAATTGGAGGTGGTGGTGATTGCTTTCTTCTCAATATATTAATTCTAGTATAAGACTTAATAAGTGATGCATGAAATATAAGATGAATCTTTATTAATTGTGGTAAATGCAATTGATATGCAATTAGATTTATCTATTTTTTTGAATGTATAACAAGCCAAGTCTTTGATAATCCAACTTGTCTTAAAATTAATCAATCTAGATGTTATAAGATAGTAATTATATATTTTTTTACTAACTTTATATAGAAGTTGTTCTTTTCTAAGACCACTTGCATTAGTTTCTTATTATTCTTAAGTCTCTCTTAATTATATCATTATTGGTGTATAAATAACTTTGTTGTATAAAATTCTATAATGATACTTATCAAGTCTCTTACAAATGCTAATTTCTTAACATAGTACAAAATGTGCCATTTTGGTTAAATTATCTACCATTACAAAGGAAAAATTGTAAAAATTTGATATTAGAAGATCTCTACTAAGGTCCATTGAAATAGATGAGTAAAATAATTCTAAAAGAAGTTGAGATTGAAGAAGTCTATAGAATCAATGATGTGAAGTCTTTACATCATTGATAAATAATACTTATTCTTAATAAGATTAAATAAATACTTTTAGCAATTTTTATACTTGAAGCTACTAAAAACTTATTGTAATAAATTCCAAAGTTTTTTATATTTAAAATGTCTTCCTTTAAGAAAGACATATTGTGCTTGAAGTACATGTAATTTGTTTGACCTAATAGAATATATTGATGCCTTATATAATAGAGAAAGTTATTCATAAAATCAACTTTGATAAAATCATCATGAAAGCTATTTTGGCATCTAAAATAAAAAAAATCCTAAAAATAAATTTGAATATATTTTATTTCAAAATTATTATATAGAATTAAATTTTCGATTTAATAGTTCAAAATTGTAATCATTGTGGTTTTAAAAGAATAGTCTATTGTTAATCATATATTGTATCTTCTTCTTTTGATACAAGATAAAAACATTACAACAAGATGTTTTATAATCCTTATTTTTTTTTCAAATTAATATGTAATATCAAATACAAATTATGATAATGAAATATTTTCATGGATTTGGCAACAATTTAAGACATGTATTGATATGAAATATTTATGACTATTGTGATTGGTACATGTTGTGATTAGATAAAAAATTCTTTTAGATTATGATGCCATTTTTAGTATGAGTCCATAATATTAAGAAGCTCTTTACTATAGATCTCATTACCAATCTTAATTATTGAGGAATTACTTAAATAAAAATAAATAAGATAAAGTCAATTGTTTCCATTTATTTGTAACAAAATTTCACCTAATACAAAGTTTGGTGTATTTTTTTCTATTAAAATTGGCTAAGAAAAATTTGAATGTTAAAAAATGAGAATAAAAGTGAAAGTTATTTTCAAACCTTTAAACAATGGTTCTACATTTTGAATCCACTTTAATTTGTCTTTGCAAGGCAACTATATGATTAGAATAACAACTTGAGAAAACCTCTTCATAAATATTTGATAATAGTTTAATACTTCTAAAACATATTGGACATTTTATATTATTTTTGAAGTTGTTTGATCCATAATAGTTTAAACTATCTTAGAATCTATTTGCAAATCACTTTTAAAATGATATATTTCAAAATTCCTACTTATGTTGTGCAAAATCTAATTAATACTTAAGAATTATTATTTTTTGGTATTTCTTAACAAATATATTATCTGAATTTATTTCTAAATAATTCTATTTAATTTTGATTATTTAAATAATATAGATATTCATAAAATTAAAAGATGATAACAAAATAATTAAGATCTAATATACATACAATTAATAAGTCAATAACACAATTGTAAAGACTACAAAAGGGATGACAAAAAAAAAGTTATATCAATTCAAAACTAATCACAAAAAAAAAAAAAAAAAAAAAAAATCTATTTTAAAAAATAAAAAGTAATAAAACAAGAATGACAACAATTAAAGATAAAATAGAATTAACATTATAAATTAAAGAAGATAAATTAATAAAAAATAAAAATAAAAATAAAATACTTTAAAAGAAAAAAAGAAAAAAATTAATATTAATATAATATAATATTAATAAATATAGATATAAATAGAAACTCAATATAAAATCACAACTATTATGTTTAAAATAAAAATTTAAAGATCATGTATCTAATAGAAATGTATCCAAAGAAATAAAAAATCTTAAAAATAAGAAATAAAAAAATATTATTTTTTTATTAATTAATTCTTATTTAATAAAAAACTATAAGATTTAAAAATTGTCAAAATCACTTATATTATAAGAGCATCTAAGTTACAACTAAGAATATTTTGTTTGTTTAATTAGACTATTATTTTCAATATAATCATTTTAAAATATGATAATAAATAAATAAATAAATAAATAAATACATAACAAAGAAAAGAATTTCTATAGCAAGAGTGAGCTTTTGCATCGATGAAGTTATGTAATAAATATTGAGTACTACTAAATTATCATTTATATTAGAATGGAGTTCAAACTTAGCACTTTTGCAAAATCCAACAATTAGAATATGTGTCACAAAATACATATTTATGTAAATAAGAAGTGCTGGATAGAAGGTAAATGTAGGTAGATTTGATATTATCTTGTTGTGAAGATTTTAAAAAGCTATATAGATGTGTATTTGACTTTATACATATTTATAGTTGATTGGTAGATTAGAAACGTGGCCAACAAATTAGCCATGTGTTGAACATGTGGATGGCTTGTGATACAAGCTAATAATTTGGAGCATATATAATGACTAAGATTAGCTACTAAGATGAATAAGGCGTCAAAAGATAAGTTTAACTTTTTTGCCACAAACATGCTAGATTGACAACATACTTTCAAAGAAAATTTTGTAGTCACATATGATTGGACAATGGATATTGGCATTGATATTCATGATAAAAATTAACAACAAGGTATACACATAATGGCTATAAAGTTAGAGGATACTTGTCCACTCTTCAAAAGGATGCATATTTTGTATGATATGAGGCCAAATGTTACTCTTTTCTATGAGATGGACTCTACTGCAATAACAAATACAATGCCATTAGAAGATTCTATGCAAATATTGGTAACTAATTCACCAAGTTTGTTGCTTGATTTGAATTTATTACTTAAGAAATTGCTACTTGAAGATACTTGAAAGGCTTTATTACAAGTCAAATTTGATGAACAAGAAAAATTGTTCAAAGAAGATCATAATCTCTTACTCTCTTCTATTTCTTTTTGATTTTTGTCTATTTCACCAACATCTTCTTTCATAAGACTTCTATTGCTCGGCAACATTATCAGTGTCACGTCAAAAAAAGAAGACAACTATTTATATTATAAAGTTCAAAAGAAAAACTTTGAAGAGGCGTTATATGATGGCTAATGTATTGGTAAAGTCATCATGACCAAAAACCTCTATAATAACAAAGTGCTTGGCCTTATTAAAGCAAAAAATTTAGAGATTTGAGATTTGTTTATAAAAAAAATTAAAAATAAAAAGATATTGGAGAAGGATAAAATGACATTTAAAAGAGAGAAATTAGTTGTAAATCAGGAAGAAAGGAAAGTGATTCAAAAATATCATAGAGAGCATAAGGTCTTTAGTCTAGTTCAATCTCAACTAATTCAAAGAAAGAATATACAAGAAATAAAATACATAATAGTTCTTGTGAACAAAATATATGAATAAAAAATAGATTTATGATTTAAATTATATTTATCAATTCATATCTCAAATTTTATGGTTTGTATTGCAAAGTTGCACCATTGTCAATCTTAAATCATAATGCATAAGTTCCAATTTCATTGTATAGGGTTAGTATGAAGAAAAGTGAGGTTTTAAAGATCTTAGATATAAGGTTATGGAGGCCTTATGCATAAAGTTAAAAGTTCCATGGATGTGAAGTTATAGAA